CATATTATTTATAGGCCAGAATGAAAAATGTTGGAGGAATGAATATAACGTTAGAAGAGATACCGTTATAAAAGATACCTAAAATATTAAAGTTACAGAAGCGGCCGGGAATTTCCAAGTCTACAGTTAACAACATTAATGAAGTGCACTTAGACTCCGCGGATTATGTCGGACACGCACAGATATTCTACCGAGATACTTTGCGACCTCTTGAAGCTTAAAAGCCACCGTAAGTTCGGCATCGCCCCGTCGAAAAGCTCCCGTCGTTGCTTATTTAAATTTTCATGGTCCTAACTGCAGTAAAAATACTTCCTTACCAGCGGCTTAACTCTTGAAGATATGTACTCGACACTCCCCCGGATCGATACCGACCAGGTACATATTTATGAGCGTAATGCTGAATTATTGCGAGATTCCTTGAGAACTCAGTTACGAGCTCTAAAGTCTGCGCGGCGGCGATGACTAAAATAGTTAAAGACGCGGCTTGTGAAAAAATATGAAAAGAAGAGAGAAGCTCTGCGCCACAATAATTATTAATTGATAATGGTTTAAAATAAGTATATAATTAAAGTAAACGTCTCGTGATACTTACGTAAAATTTATTATTAATATTATATCAACTTCTTTTTTATTACAACTATAATGTTATAATTTAATTAATTTGTATTTAAAAATTACAATTAAATTATGACGTTATATTTAAAAAACATTTGAAATTAATAATAAAATAAATAAATGAAGTTTTGTATAAATGTCGGGACATAAAATACATGTCAGGTCACTGAGACGTGTACTATATTTAAAAAATGTTCGTATTTATCTGAATTTTAAACTAACAATTATTTGCTTGTCATGTGCCATAAAATTATAATAAATTTTGACACATATATATTAGACAATTAGAAATCCTATACAATTATAAAATCTCATCACATGATAAAATAATAAAATATAGAAATTACATACTTTTTCGATCGCAGTTTTCTATATATTCTATAAATAAAGTTTTACTCGCATCTCCTTTTCTATTCTTTCCAAATCGACTTTTTTATCGAAGAAAACTGTGGCATTAGGAACTTCCTTGGCCTGGATCTAAACCCCTTGGAAAGTTCTTTCCATCTTTTTCATCTTCTTTTATTTTTTAATAATAGACTCGCCAATACGAGGGTACACACGGCTACGCGATTAGGCGACCCTCCTGTACACGCTTCGGCGATCACGCACGGACGTAGTCCTGCTTAATCTCGCGGGGATAAATAAGAGATCGTGCACGGGAGAAGAACAGGTCGCGAACAGGGAGTTAAGCGACGTGCCCGAGTCCCTTCTCATCCTGGATCGAAACGAGCGTCACGTTTCCACGCTCCACGTCCCGAGAATTCGAGCCATTACCAGCCAGAGATAGCGCACGGACCGCCAAAAAGAACGCTGGATTTACTACGCCCCGGCAGATGGCTACCCTTTTTTCCTTCCGGACGGCCTATCACGAATAAAACTAAACGGAAACGCGCGTTTCCCTTGGTTTTACCATTGTCACTGTCATTGTGCCGGGCACGTTGGATTATCGCTTGCAGAAACTGTGGCAATGGGTTGAATGAGTTCGTTAACCATTGATAAGAAGTTGAGTATGTATAATAATAGCAACTTGAAGGAGAAAATTATAAATTACGCGAAGAGTAAGAATATTGCGTTTGATCAAACTTATTCTAAAAGAAACTCCGTTTCTAAATTAATTAAATTTTCCAAAGAGAGATTTCTAATTTTTGAATTAAATTGAATTATAAATTGGAAGAGCTTCTCGAATTTTTCGTTAATGAATAAAGAAGTAAGAAATATTACGTTTTACCATTTCTCATAGCAATTTTTTAAATCATCCCTTTTAATTATTTGGAAAATATTTTTTCGATATTCCCTGAAAAAGGATGATTTAAGAAATTGCTATGAGAAATAATGATATGTGATATTTCTTATTTGATTATCTATTAACGAAAAATTCAAAAAGCTCTTTTAATTTATGATTCAATTTAATTTCAATTTTAATTAGAATTTAGATAGCAATCTTTAGAAGAACATTTCTCAAACGGAATTTCTTTTAAAATAAATTTGATTCTTCGCAATTCTTCGCATAAATTTTCACCATTAAATTATCTTGGCTGCGTGAAAAACTTTAATTAAAATAAAAATAAAACAAAACTAAATTTTTTTTGAAAATAAAGTGCTCTTAAAATTATCTAGTAATGTTTGTCTCTCCTTGTTAAATTCCTAATATCTCCTGAAATTCATACTAATTTTCATTGAATTGCTATTAAATTGGTTAAACGTTCTTAATTAAATATATTTTTGTATGCCTTGTTTTATCGTATTCGAGATGCTTCAAATTTCATTATAATACGAATGAGTTTCACATAATTCTGTAATTAAACGCAAAAGTGGAAAGTTTAAACGGGTATATGCAACTTACATTGCAGTGAGATACAGATAATAAAATGCTAAAATTTTACTAGCATTTTGCACAATCTCCTGGAATCGTGCAGAACATTTCGAAAAGCACGGATTTACACAATAGCGACATTTAAGGAGATACTTTTATTTAACGGGATATAAGATTTTGTCGTTATATAAATCTGTACTGTTACAACGCATATACCTAGGTGATCCGCCGATTTTCTCCGAGACTAACTTTTAAGCTCACGTAAGCTGCAGTATATACTTTCCTCAAAGGAGAATCGTAAAAAAGCAGAACTTCTATACTTTCGAAATCCTTGTTATGTTATTGTCAACGAGCGAGTAGAATACATGGACTTACTTACTATTTCCTAATCCAAAACTCGATATCCTTCTGTAGTGTGACTTGCATCAAATATCTTTCTGGAAAATTACGCAGGATTAAAATTTCATCTTTAAGAATGCATTTCTGAATTTGGAAAAGAAATTTCTTTCAATATAAATTCGATCGAATACAATTCGCGCGTTGCGCAATTTAAACAAATTTTTATTATTAAATATCTTGACTGCTTATAAAACTTAATGAAGATAAAACTTGAAAGTAAATTTCTTTGAAAATAAAGTGCTTTTAAAATTATTCAGAAGAACGTTCCGTTAGTCATTATCATCTTTAAAGCTTAATTCATTAAATATTATTTAATTCTCAAAGTTATAAAACTTCGTAATATAATATATACTTCGGCCTAAATTTCTGCGAAGAAGCGCTCCAACTTTGTCAAGAAATTATCTTTTGAAACTTTGTTCTTCACCAAATATTCTATAGATCAAATAATTGAATAATGGTGAATTATTTGCTGCTAATTGTAAAAGACAGACAGTTTATTGGACTCGTCTTTTTTTCTTATACTGTTTTATAAGAACAAACAATTTTAATAATAATAATATTCCGAATCTTTTTCACGTGACATTCGATGCCTTCCTTTTTCTTTCTACTTTAACCCCAACTTACATCCATGACCATCTTTCTTCCCAACAGCACTGCCGGCTGTAATTTGTGGAGGACAAGAACTTCCCAGAGAGACATTGAACAACTTTTATAATGTTTTTTTGCGCGCCATAAACAGACGTGATCTTAACTTTTTCTCATATTATCGTTTTTCTGAAGGTTATAATATCAGTGCGCAAAAGATAAACAGAAATTATCCTTCGTGAGACGATTTTGCTATTTGTTATTTGTTATATGTTACTCTAAACAACTAAAAGTACTTTATAAAACTTTTTTATTAAATTTTAAATTTAAACAGGGAAAATAAAACATAAGAGTCAAAATTTTTTTCAAAATTTTTTGATAATCATCTAGATAATCAATTAATCCTTCGTGCAATTGAATTTCTTTTTTGATACAAGCAAAATTTCACTTTGTTCAAATTTCAATTTTTATCGAATGAACATTTTAGTTAAAAAAATATTTGTTAACATAATAGAAATTTTGAAAAAAATTTTCTATATTTTTTGAAAGCCTAAAACAGTAAAATAATTGGGCTGGAAAAAAATCAGATTGTAGACGAAGGAAATAAAAATATGAATGCAGATGAAGGATTAAATACTTTGTATACAGTAATTTGTTAAAAATCTTCGTAAAGTCTAAATCGTTTTATTTTAATTTCCCTATATACAATACATGGTGATTTCCTAAATTTAGTCACGAGTGTCACATCATTTTTCAGTATTTTTGTCGGCAACTTTATCTAAAGGAAAACGCTATTGGCGGCAAAAGGACTGCTACATCCTGCACAGGAGAAACGACGACCGGGGCAAAAAGACGGAAATCGATTAGCCCTAAACGTGGTCGCGCGACTTCGTCCTTCCTCCAATCTCCGAATCGAATCATGCGCCATGCTTGAACGAACTTACGGTACAGGCGATATAAAATAACGCCCGAAGGGGAAAAATGATCCTACACTGTAGCCACAGCCGCGACAGCTAATTGCATTCGTTAAAGGGGCCCGCCCAGACCGCGTTCTGTGCTTTCTTCGCTGAGCGGAGTACTCTCTTTCTCTCGGACCACTCGTCGCCTTTCGCTTCCTTTTTTCTTCCATCTTCAGACTACGTACTGCGCTCTCCGCCGGTCTTTTCCTCCTCCGTTCGGCCACTCGTCGCAATTTGCGGGAGCCAGAGCAACGGCGAGAGAACTTCCTGAAGAGGTGTTGCGAAAGTTTTGGATCAAATGAATGAAAAACGGCGGAGAAGAAGGGAGAAAACGCCTGGAGAACAGTGGTGGATTATCGCACAAAGGTATCAATTCGCAAGTCTCCCTCTTGAAATTTCAAGGCTTGAAATACGAATTTTTATTTCATGAAAATTGGATAATCAAATATAGGTGTTGTCAACAATATTGATATATAATATTTAAAGGATGATGTTCAACATTTTTCACAAGATTTTTTATTTTTGATCTGGTATTTTGCAGACTGCAGAGAATCTCCAAGTCCTTCAATCCACCGCTGGAAGAGAGAAAAGCGAATCGAAGGAGAGAATCGAGGGGTCATACACAAGTATGGCGTTTTCGTTGTATTTTATTGATCCGATACAGTCGTAAATGGTACAATCGGCAAATTCATCGGCGGTACAATTGATATAGTTATATGTTATATATACACTTATGTACATAGTGCCAAAAGGCGTGCGCACTTGCAGAAACGATACTTGGCGCAGAATAATGCTTCCGAATTATCGTTACAGAATATAACGGCGAGATCGAGCACGAGGACCAAACTCCTGACCGTCGAGAGATACAAAATCGTAAAAAAGAATCAGCAGGGATAAGAAAGGGGAAAGGAAGAAATGACGGAGTGAGATTGGGTGAAAGATGTGTCGATTGGGTCTCTAGAAGACTAGAAAACGTATACTCATTATTGTACACTAAAGCCGTGGCAGCATTGTTTTATATCTTATCTATCTATACGCTTTAATCCTCCGCGAACTAGGTGGGGTGTAACATACCCCAGCAAGATGAACTTCTGTAACTTCTTAAAAAGTGCAAGTTGCCGTTTCGTACAGCTGAAGAATGCATCTTTACCAATCATACTAGATTAGTATATTTATGATGAAGTATAACATGGGTATGAGATACCCCACATATGATCCATGTTGATTTTCTACCTGGTTCGCGGAGAGTTAATGGAGCTTAACGCCTACAACGCGATTACACTTATACGTGTGTGTCGATATGGATAATGGGTGGACGATCGAGCGATCCGTCGATCGCTTCAAGCAGAATGAAGAATCTGGCCATGTCAGCGTATTCTAACATGAAGTTTCGATTCTTCGTCCTGTAGGATAATTATCGGCCTTTACCGTGGTCGATCCTTCCTCTTCTCATCGTGCCTCGTCAGCGTTCGATTTGAAGCTCGACGCTCGCGGTCATTAACTGTCTCAGCACCGAACTGAATTCAATTGCTAAATCCTGTTTCGATCAATTTCATTCGGTTAGAAAAAGTGCATCTCATTATTTTCTGATTGTGAGAGATAAATCGTCTAACGTCAGTTATACAAATTTTTTGTGTATTTGTTGTGAAGGAAATGTATTTTTTGAAATGATTTATATCTTCACTATTTTCCTCTAATTTCTATGGCAAAAATTATTTTTGCAATAAAAAATTGTTAAATCATCACATATATGTAGAAAAATAAAGAAAAATTTTCGTTTTAGTTTCGTGATAAGCGAAGCTCTGCATTCTTTAATAAATCGTTGTAGATGAGCGCATGCTATATAACGGCAGGTGCTAAAAGAGTTAATTACATTACACGATCGACAAAACTGCGGCAAATGCCGCCCGGTGGGACTGATCATCGACTTTCTTTACTGGCTATTCGGAGTACGCTACAGGAAAGGCTACTCGAGGCCCTCCTCGATACTGTATGTCCTTCTTCGCGCACCTCGGCTCTACTTTCTTCAGAGTAAGAAGTTACCAAGAACCAATGCCCCGTCGAGAATATTGAGAAAGGTTGCTATCGGACGAGACTCTATTTCTCGGGCGTACATCTCTCTCTATCGAGCGATGAATTTCGCAAGAGACTCCTCTCTATTCCTTGGCTGTCTCAATGCGATCTCTCAAACTAATCGATTGATCGTTCTACTCGGACACGGTCTTCGACAAAGTTTGTCGTCGACTATACTTGGCTATTTGCTAATGGACGTCTCCTTGCTTCCGAGGGCCAGTCATTCCACCTTCGGTTAAGTGTCCGATAATTTCTCCCACGCCTCTTTCTGGATCACAGTATTGACTATAGTGTGAACAGGGAACTCGAGTTAATTGACCGAAGGTCGGACGTACCGATCCTCAGAAGTGCGTTTTAAAGTCTTCGTCGAGGTAATTATTTGAGAAACGAATTGAGGAAGCGTGTAGGAAAAAATATTTTCTTTTCTCCGCTTATAATATAGAGTGCGGTATAAATAGAAAATGGACTGATTTCCAGCGGAGGAAACTTTTATCTTAGCTTTCGTGGCTTCCTAACGGGAGAACATTATTTACGGATCGCGTGACGTGTGCGTGAATTATGTCAGTCTCGTTAATTCTTCGGGATGAAGTAGCTTTTCACTCTTCGAGTGATCTTATTTCTCTATTTCGAAACGTATGCGCTTCGATTGATATTATTGGTGGTTCCATTTAATACGATTATCGTATGGATAAAATAGGAAAGTACAAATTTCAATTTCCCAACTAAAATCTGAATTCTAAGTTTCAGCTTCCCAAACAAGGCGGATCCAAAGGGTCCACGGTTAGTGCCTCCCTCGGAAACCTTTTCGCCAAAGTTTCTGGACCTGTTGAATCGTTATTCCTCGTGAAGCCCGCTTATATTCAGACAAATAGCGCGAGACGAATTTTACTCGGATTAACATCCCCAGGGATTACATATTTCTCAATTACAAATAAAAAACCATTCTTATTTATAGTATATCAAATTTAGAACTCAAAATATGTGCCACGATTGCGAAATTAGAAAACACTCCGCTAAATATTACTTCTAAATAAATATTATAATTACTCTAAATAAATAAAAAATATTCAGACAAAATACGCAAAACGTATATTGCGTTTCCTGAATCCCTAAGGAGATTAAACCGCTCTCATTTCGCTGCACAACTGCGAAAGGACTAAAGCGTCCTCATTAATATTATGATATCTCAGAGCGAGAGTAATTTCAGATGCTTTCTCGTATTTATACGTTATTTCGTAACGCTTTGTGCCAAGTAGATTCATAGAAAATGTATTACGATCGCTCTAAATTCATATTTAAAAGATCTACCGATTAGTTAACGTCAACCGGGCTCTCCTCGATAATCTTCTCCAGCAGCTGACCCGATTCGAAGTCTCTGCATCTGTCTGTGACGTATGTCGTTGGGCCTAAAGGTGAGCCGATCTCCTGCGGCAGACCTTTTTTGAGGACGTTAAGGTACCCCTAGCTCTGAACCATATCACTAATGTACTCCTCGTGAAGTGCGAGGAGATGACGCGGAACATCGAGAGCGGTGTGAAGGGTTACGGTTACGCCGCGATTCAAACTGATCGCCGGATAAAAGACGCCGTAGAGATCGCGGAAGGCGATGCCGCCCTGCGGTTGGTCGTTGACGAAGAAACGTAGCGTATGCGTGGTGTCCAGGTCGAGGAGAACGCCGACAGTCGAGCCTTGTTGAACCCCACCCTCCGTACGCTGTGCGTGACCACCGCCGTGCATGAACCACGACCGCTGGCGGTCTATGTACATGCTCCAGCCTTTATCGTCCTTACCTGTGAACAAAACGATTCTCAAGGTTACACGTGGGCTGCCTTCTAGAGAATTGTTTAAAGCCGGCGGCACACGATGCTTATTTTCCTGCTGGACTGCGAGCTGGATTAGAATCTTCCCACCGTATTGTCTACGATACTGGTACCGTCACCACCGCAGTTAATACGGTGGCAAGATTCTAATCCAGCTAGCAATCCAGCAGGAAAACAAGCGTCGTAGTCGCCGGTTTAACTTTTATCTCGAATTGCATGTCACATAAACGACAGCACAATGATTAACGTGTTAAAAATAATTGGAGACAGTGAAATTATTTGTAATGTTAAGGATATTTGAAACTTAATTAATTCTAATCGATAATTTGTTCAAAAATTACTTAACTAATATTTGCGAGTTCAGTGTACTTTAAATTACTGTAACGTTACTTAAAATTATTACGTAATTGAACAATTTTGTTTCATTTCGTAAGTTGAAATCTGAGGAATAAGATTATATAACTTAAAATTATGTAAGATTGTGAAAAACATTTGTTATAAATAATTTTTCACAAAAATAGTTAAAGAAAATATTCGAGTTTACGAGATAACGATTAGGACTTATAATAGCAAAAATGATTTTTTTAGATACTCGTATTAATGTATGTCTTTAATAGTTTAAAATAATTGAGACAAGTGAAACGAATAGTTATTATTAAACACGTCGTGGAGAATATTCCAAAACAATTGTAAGAAGAAAAAGATGATACACGACACGACTGCAGACCCTATCCATAAATTTCCGTTGTATTCGCTAGGCGGCACGCAATCGATTTCCGAATTTCATCAGTTCTAAGAGCATTGACCCGGTTTCCATGTGTCCAAGGGTTAAAATACCCTCTTCTTCCAGTATGTTGCACAACCACGGTCGCGCACTTTGCGATCTCTCGGAATCTCTTGGCCGTCGTTTTCTCTCATCCGAGACAATGTATAGAGACAAAGGCAAAGAGACAGAGAAAAAGAGAAATAGAAAGACAGAGAGGCAAAGGGAGAAAGAAATATGGTGAAAACGGTACATACGTCTCTCGCCTCCGAATTTCCGAACAAACCAGGGATCTCCGGGGTGTACCGGGTGGCGCATGAATATTTCATCGAGGCTGGATAAACCGCACGATATTTTCCGTAGAAGAGGACAAGAAGGAGAGAGAGACCTAGTAGAGATGGAGAACTTACCCAGCATCTGATCACGCGACACGTCGGCCCGGGCAATTCCAAAGGCTGGATCGGTGTCACTGTGGTATCGATCTATGGTCAGCTCCCAATAGTGTACGCCTCGCGAGAAGCCGACGCTCGAGAGGACCACGCGGTGCTCGTAGCCCTCGCAGGACGCGCTCATCGCGTCCTCGGATATGGACACTTCCTGCGGTATGCCGGCGGCGCCGGTGGCCCACGAAAACCACGCCACTGCGAGAGACCAGAGGATACGGTTTGCTGTACAGCTTCGATTAATATTCCGCGGACTCGGATCCGCAAGCACGCTTAACGAACTACACGTTCAGGCACGAACGTTGGGTTATCGAGTGCCGGGTTATTGGGAATTCGACGTCGCAGCCGCACTCGATGTTAATAACGACGTGACGGGATTGTGGAATCTTAATATGAGAAGGAGAATGGAGAGATCTGATTTTCTGTGCGGCTAAATAATTTAAGAACTTGATATGAAAAGTCGACGTGAGCCGACTGCGAAAGCTCAATGCAAAAAAGAAGGGATGATTTTATCTTTCGCGGTGTGTTAAATAATTTAAGACTTTGATATAGAATTTCTTATACAGCGCGATTGTTGAAGTTTAATATTTAACTCCCGCTTGATTAATATTAAATTACGATTTGAGAATTCAAAAGAAAAAAAAAATGTTTTCCTTCCTTATTAATATTACATTTGGAAAAATATAAAGATTTAAATTTAACATAAAATTTGGTCCTATAAACGACAAAGATTTTAAATTCAATTACAGATTATTTACTTTAATTAATTATTTAATTTAGATTAAAATAATTTGATTTGCCGAATCATCGTATTCTATATCTGTCATGTTAGTCGAAATTTTGTTGAAGTATTTATAGATTTAAATACAAATTTGAAAATAATTTTATTAGGCTATCAAAATACTTATATAGAATGCTTAAATATTGATGACGATATTGCAAACAATTTTAACATTCTACACTAAAAATTTACTAAATCTTAATATATATTTTTTAAAATAATACTACGTAAACGTTTATTTACAGTAAATAAATATTTACTAAATAAAAAAAATGATAGCTAAATTAATGATTGTATCAAATAGATACATATTTATATTTAATAAATAAATATTTACATAGAATTATTCAAACAAATATTTATTAAAAATATAACATTTTTTTCAATAATCAATTTAAGGCTCCTACTTAATTATTATGATGGTCCAAACAATATTTTTTTCAGATCTGTGTCTAATTTTTAGATACTTGAGCAAAACCGTTTTTTCCGTGTAACAGAATTAATGATAATGAAATGAAATTTTTGGAAGATCTGTTTTCTTTCGAAACTATAACGCAAAGGTAAAAAGATAAAAATCTCCTCGAAGTCATTTGTAATTGTCGCCCGCATTATTCCGCAAACGCCACACGGATGGGCATTCTATCGCGGCTATTTCTGTGCATCTACCGTCCATCTCATCGATCACGCGATCGTGCCGCGGAAAAAAAATACGTGCGACTGGAAAATCGACGTCGCTTACGATCGTTCGTCTTCCACGCGACACCGACGCCGATTTTCCAGCCGAGGCCTCTGCGCGTTTCGCCCAGGAAACCGTAAAGAAAAAAAAAAGGGAAAAGCTCTCACCCTCGGCGGTCTGAAGGCCGATCAGCTCCGAGTACTCGCCCTCACCGGCGCTGTTAAAGGCCCGCACCCTGGCGTTGTAGAGTGAGTTGAAGTGTAGCCCGTCTACCGTGCAAATGGTCTCGCGGCCACAGTACACCTCCTGCGAATCAGATTTCAAACGGGACACTCATGAATTTGCGGGTTGCAATTATAGCCGGATAACCTGCCCTACTAAGAGAGAGAATAATTTTCGCGGAAATTAAGATTTATAGAAGAGAGAATATTTTTTATTATTTTGTAAATCTTTACTTATCAGGAAATGCAAGAAGATATTTATAGCATAAAATTCTATAATAATCCATTACTATATATACCTACCACAGTAATTAAATTCTTTCTACGCTAAAGTAAATGTGTTAAACTATGTTAAACACGCAACTATGTAAAACAGTATAAATATAATAAGTATTATAATTTAAAAAATCTTTTTTTAAATTTTTATACCTATTTAATAGGTATAAAAATAAATAGATTTCTAAAATTATATGTAAAATAATAATTAGAAATCTGTAAAGATAAAAATGAAATTGAATTAATCTAGAAACATGGAAAAATCAAGAATGCCAACTTTGAGTAAATATGGAGTAATGACAAAAATAAGTTGAAATATCTAACTTGGCTCGAAAACACTTGTTCACTGTGATGAGCGAGTATTGACATTGCTCGTCTGATGGATAAACGAGAATTGCGGATAAAGAGAGGAGTTTACCTGTTATGTCGATTTTCCTCAAAGAAACATCAAGATGGCATCGATTGGTCGATCAACAGATAAACAAGCACGAGATACACTATTAGATTTAACATTAAAATAAAAGTTTCTTGAAACTGATAAAATATGTGATACAAAGTCAACAATTCGATTACAATACTATTTTCTTTTCAATACTATTTTCAATACAATTTTACTATTCATTATGTATGTGTCTCGATAAAAAAATCTATTTCCAACTAACATTAAATATAAAATAATATAATACAAAAATATGTGAAGTTTGCTAATATTTTTGTATCTTGTCAGAATCGGGAATTAAAATTTTGCACATCTTGCATTTTCTCTAAATCAAATCACACAGGAGATGTGGAATTAATTCCGGATTAGCATGAATCTTCTGGCAAACCCGATCCTTTTCGTCAAAGGAGCCCTCACGATTCCTCCTGCGAGCTCAACGAGCGACAGGGCGGAAACGGAAACCAGAAACCGGGAAACCCGAGGCATCGTGCCGCGCGAACGAGCTCGATTTAAATATTAAAAGGAGGAGGATGGACCGTGCTATCTCGATGGCCGCCAAGAGGATAGGCGATAGGTCGGACAAGGGACGGTAGAAAGGACGAAGAGAGCGCCGACAACGAGGACGATTTATATTCGTGGTATCGCTCCGTTCGTTAACGAGCACCATATCGCAACGCAGCCGCGTCGGGTGCATTATTAACAAAGCATGAAAATTTAGACGCGCGATTTACAGGCCCGACCTGAAACACGTTTGTGCGAACGAGAATTCATACGCGACATATATTCTCGATACATATTCTCATCGATTTTACTGCGGATTTAGTATTATTTAGTATTTATGCGTGAATCACTTGAAGAGTGAAATCTTCATGAAAAACGAGAAGAATTAATACAATTTCGTAGTAAAACTATTTTAATGATGCATCAAAATATATAAATGCAAAAAGCTCAAATCAATCGTGAGATGAAATTAATTCGTACACTGTTCAATTTATTCGATTCAATTTGAACCATTTGTAATTTATGGATCGCCACTGTTTCTACTAAATATACCATTGATTTAACTAAAACAATGAAGTTATACAATTTAACTCAAGGAAATGTATTAAATTTGACTCAAATTTAGTTTGCTGAACTTTGAAACTATAACTACAGAAATGAACTGATTTACATTTTGACACATATCGAAGTTAAAAATGTCAAAATATTTATTATTTGATTCAAGAGACTGAGTTACTATTGTTTCTAACGGTATATATACTATTAAGAAAAAACAGTCTTTGCACATTTAATTTCTATATTTTTTAACTTAAATGTATTCTATTTCGTGTTATATTCGCGTAGCACGTAAATATTTCAAAGAATTAAGTCCAGCAATATTAAAATAATTCCGTATAAAAATGCTAAAACTTTATGATATCATTCTCTCTTTCACTTTGTGCGATTTTATTTCCTCTTGCACTGGCGGAAGACAATACCCTATGAAACTCTACCACCGCCGGAAAATTACCTCACATTAATATCGTGGATTATGTGGCAAACGACGGTTCGAACTGCCGTCATTTGATAAAAACTTCTAATGAACGGGACGATATCGCTGGGAGCAATTAATAATTGCCATCGCCCGAGAAGATCGCTCATTTCTCACGTGTAAGCCAGGAATCTTAGAGTTATAGACTTCAATTAACGCCCTCAATACCGAATCTTCATTTACCAGAAGAAGAATTCTATTTCACAAACTGTTTCTCAATTCATGTATGAAATACTAATTTACGAAATGAGAGATCCTTATAAACGTACACAAAAAATTTTTTTTTTAATATTTAGGTAGATACAGATCTAAAAATAATTTTTTGTTGAACCATCAAAATATTTATGTAGTAAACTTAAACAAAAAGTTTTGACATTTTAGCAATCAACTTGAGCGCCCTGCATCAATTATTTTGATAACACCCAACAAAAATATTTTCAGATCTACATCTAACCAAATATTTAGATGCTTCCGTAAAACCGTTCTTTCCGTGTACAATTTCTTCATCGGACAATTAGAGATATTATCACCCACTTAGGACGCCACAAACAGATTAATGTAACGCATTAAACTGCCTTTATTCAGCACGCTAATCTCCAAATTTTTCAAACTCCCACCACGAATTCGCTCCAAAAGGCTACCTTTTTAATCCTGACTTTTATGTCTTGCGGCTCACGTGCGCTATTTAGGCTGAATTATTAGCTGTAATCGTTACCGTGTTTCAGGGTGCTCGCTGCCACCCGCGTTTACGATCAATAAAATGCGAAAGACGATGTTTCGAATCCGGTCGAGTAGAGACCAACCCGAGAATAAATGTGACGAACGAGCTCGCCAGTCCGGAAACACATTCCGAATGGATACAGAGTCAACCCTTTTATGAAGGGCAGTATTCGCGCGCGAGTGATTCGTTTTGATTCTTGGTCACAACGTGCTGAACTTACAACCCATAACTAGAATCTCTCCGAAAAAAATCAACTTCACGGACGATCGGTATCAATATTCATCTCGCGGTGCGCAGAGACAAATTCTCAACAAAGAGGGTTTTTATGATCCTGACATTTTTTTGTGATCCCCTTTGCGCTTCGATGTCACGCCGATAGCTGGTATTATCCTTCAGTAAATTGAAAGGCGGATTTTGTACGTCCCCATGCAGTTTTATTAAACGCTCGTATCCGGAAATTGATCCGCATATAAGATTCATCCCGATGTCACTATGTGCAGTATGTATTATTACGGGACGGAAATTGTAGCAATGAAATTTGAAACAAAGCTGAACGACAGCGACAAAATTGTATTCATTACTCCTGCGTATGTATATCATAATCTAGAAATGATAGGCAGACAAATATTTAATATAATAATATCACAAAGTTTTAATACACAAATTTTACTCAAATTGGTTAACGGAATAATAACTGTTGAATCAGGAAGATCAAAAGAATATTTTCAGTCTCTAAAGGATCCTGGCAACCAATTTTGCATATGTACAAATATGCAATCTAAAGATTTTTAAAAAATAGCTTAAAAGAAAGCTAGAATTTTAACGAATGTATTTCACAGGCGAACTTACATTTCGTTTCCCTTGGGTTACACTGTCACGTTTAGTTCAACATACACAACGAATCTTTTAGAGTTTCCTGCCACGTTCGTACTCCTCTTTTTTTTTTACTTTACTATTTTTACGTTACGAGTAACTTTCTTTTGCTCGAGCGTGAGGAGACCTCGTCTTAACTTTTCGGGAGCGCGAAACGGACGAACAGTTTTTCAATTCAATAAAATTAGTATCACTACATTTTTAATAACATTTTGTACTGAATTATGTGTGAACTTTTATACAAAAATGAGTGGGGAAATGCGAACATTTTAATGGAGAAGTTTAATTTAAAGCCGATAATTATTTATTAATTATACAAGTTTTCATTTAAAAGGTACAGCTATTTGGCTTTAAACTACAATGATTAACATTTATGTATTATCAATGTAATCTATAATTTTAAACAAAAACAAATCTTCGTTTGGAATTATCTGCCGCACGCAGACACCATGTGGGTTTTGGTTCTTTGTTTAAAATGATAATTTATATTGAATATAAATGTTAATTATATTGTAGTTTAGAGCGAAATAATTGTTGAATAAATTGTTGAATTGTTGAAAAAACTTCTAATTAATAAATAATTGTTAGTTTTATTTAACCTTTCCCTTAGTTATTCGCAGTAGCTACATTTTTTTCCTTACATTAAAAACAATGAAAACATGTAATGGTATTTATCTTAAACGTCATGTGCCTTTTTATGTCACATGTTATATTGTGGCACTGATTGTATATCAGATTATCGAGAAATATGAAAAATGAGAGAATGTCACTACTCTAATATACTACAATAGTATTGTTCGCGTTTAATATCGTTTCCGTGTTCCCAATTCCTTCACTCCTCTAACACAATCAGTAAATATTCTTTTCAAATCAATGAAGAGAAAAATAAACCTATTTTCGGTTAAAACGGATCTTAATGCTTAAATATTTCAGAGTAAAATAGATATATCCAATTTTTTTCAAATATTGCCATTTCTCTGGAAATATATATAATATGTATAAATGTATAAATTCACATCGATATATTCAAACACTAACATCTCTTTTGACTGATAATAGGATTTCTCTTACTTAATTAGATTTATTCTCATCCATCTAATTTAAATTATTATTGCTATTATATATATATACTAATTATAATTATTATTGCAATTTCTCTTTTTAATTCGAATCCCTTTAGAAAAAATAAATTCTTATCCGTTTAATCTGTTTTTCTATTCCGCTTTTAAAAGAAATCGTGTTAAAAAGAGAAAAATTGTGAGATGCTCAGAAAAAATATTTATTATCGTAAGAAAATCTATGTTGCTTTCGAGATTTCTATGGGAGAAATAACAGACGTCAAATATTATTTAATGCTAGCGAGAGTCTTTCTTTCTCGGTGTCATCTCGCCCGCACCAGATCGAAGGACAATTCTACGAAAGACATCGTGAGAACGTCGAAGTGTCCCATTGTTGGACAAAGTCGTATCGCTGTCGTCGCAAGATGATACGGTCGAAGAAGAGCGCGGCAAAGAAACACCGGAACCGGACGTCGCATCGACAAAGAAACGAGAACGACAGAAGATCCCGACGAGTGAAGTGCCATCGAAGAATTCGTGGGCGATCTCAAGAAAGCCTCGAGATCCGAGCCTAGCGTTCAATAGCCATCTCTCCCGACACACGGAAGAGTACAATTTCTTCAGGATATAAGAGTGTTTACTCACCCTAAACTCCCCGCCGCAGCCATCATCCAGCTCCAAAAGATATCCTTCAATGGCGGGGCCTCTCTGACCAGCGCAGCCCATAATTCCGTGGCCAGGAGGCGGCTGCCAGGCAACGGTGACGCTGTTGTTCTCGGCGCTACACTCCTCGGGGATCAGTAAAGGAGCTCCGGGTGCTGGAAATGCGTACATCGAGACGGTTTAATAGTGCTCCGCGTTATTGCAATCGCCAGCGTTGCGTGGAAACGCGGTAGTAAAGTAATGAGCTAGATTTAATGTCTTTTAGGTGTGCGTGACTTTAAGTCCAAGGGTGTTTAAAGTCAATTTCAACAACGATAATCGCAATAACGTTCGCGATAATTTGAGTTATTATGTGTATTAAATTGAGTTATCATATATATGTATTAAAGTTATTATATTAATTATGATATTAAATACATGAACTCTCTAAATTCTTTAAAGTGGAATCTCACTCTATAGAATGAAAATTGAGTCAATCTTGAAAAAGAGTGGATCAATTTTCAATCGTTACAAGTGAGAGAGGTTTCACTTTTTGCAGAGATCTAAAAGTTTTAGAGAGAAAATAAATGAAAATTTCAATTCTTCGATTAACTTGAAATAAAAACCTTCGTTTGTTAATGTAACGAACTCCACTCGCGTGATGGAAAAGTAGATAGGGTTGCTTTGAAGTTTCGTAAAAATAAAGTTATAAGCAGACTATAAATCAGTTGTTGTACTTGCTTAAGGACGGAAGCTTCCAATACTGAAATTTTCTACTTCGGTAAAACTTTATACACACTTAAGAAGTTTCTCGAGTAAGTAACTAAACATTTCGTATTTTCGTAAGGATTGAGGTAAAGGCATTTAACTTTGGAGATTTTGAGCCAACGAAGTTTGCTTGTAAATCATTTTACAAGCGAATAAGCTTATAAATAAGTAGAAAGTTGTAAATGCAAATAGATTAAAATGTAATCAATAGAAAAAAGAAAAATCCCTGATAAAATTATAATTCGCACGTTCGTGTTTATAAGTGTATGTGTAATAATGCATCTTTGTACAAGTGATAAACTTATATACATACTTTTCAAATTTTTTGAAATAAAATACACTCCAAAAGATTGAAATCCAGTCTTGGAAAAATATCTAGTGAAAATATTTTTACTTTTAAACAAGAATAGTAGATTTTCACTCTTTACGAATAAGATTTCATTATTTTGGTGTGAAAATCACTCTAAGGAATGAAGTCTCATTCCAAAAAAAGAAGATATTATTCCTTTGAAGTGAATCTCTAAAATAGTAAAGTCTTACTTTAAAAGAATAAAAATTTGCCACTTTTGTTCAAGAGTGAAAAGTTTCATTCTTTTTTTCAAGATTGATTCAATTTTCACTCCAAAAGATTTAAACAGTACACATAAAATTATAAATTAAAAATACTGTAAAGAAAATAAAACAGATTCACAGATAGACGATTTCACATTTGAATAAGTTTTAATTACCGCTAGTCGAGACTTCAATACGATATGAATTTGAAACTGCGCTGGGTATTTGGCTACAATCCGATTTGCTTCGAAGCTGGCTTGCCGGTGATGACCTTCGGTGGCAATAATTTTACGATTTAAACAGGCTTCGGACTGCCGAATTTGTCGCGAGTTTCCTAACGACGGACCAAACTTGGTTGTTGCCGCAGCGACCGCAATTGTATTCGATTCTGACTGTCTAAGGTACAAGTTAAAGCCGCGGAAATTACTGTGCGCTATTCAGATTTCTGTCCCACAGAAATGTACTGAGCTGTCAATGCAGAACACCATATCTTAATTTGCCAAGTCGATTGGAAAATACGTATAACTTTTTCAATAAAAATGCTAAAATCAAACTGATCATGTTGGAACCTAAAATAAAATTAACAGCCAATATTAATTTCTTTTGGAGCTGCAATATTCTGTATAAAAGTAGTATTTCTGTAAAAAAATTCATTTAACTCTGTAATTTGGGTCATTTTGGCACACGCGAAATTTCAGACGCGAAGTTATACATTTTTTAAATAAATTTCCATTTTTCCTCATTTTTGCTCAAATATCAATTTTTATTAAATAAACATTTATAATAAATAGAAAATAAATGTCCTAAATAATCAAGCTAGATTTTTAATTATTAAATAATTCGATGTAAATTTATATAGTACATATCCAATCCTGCAAACTGCACGTCGAATTTAATTTTCAGTTTGAAACGCAATCCTAATTAGAACTAGACTAATAATATTACAAATTAAATTGACAAGCTATTTAATAATATTGTAGGGACCGACGAAAAAATTAACGAAGTTTGAGATTTGAAAACTCAGAAGCCTTCGTTTTCAATCCTAGCACTCAGTGTGTGCTATGCCAATGACGCTCCACTGTTGTCATACTTATTCGGGTCGTCTATATATACTTTTAAATGGCCTTACGGTTCTCTTTATTTTCCTACAATATTGATGCTCATAAGCATCTTAGAAAGATTTTAATAATTTGATGCTGATATATAAGCATTCCTTACAAAGATAATAAAAACACTAATATTTAATAATAATAAAACACTAATACTTAATAAAAACACTACTTGATAATGTAATAGAGATGTTGAAAAGTAATCCTGAATTTTTCTACTTTTGAAAGTCTAGAAACAGCAAAAAGAAACTTAAATTGGACGAAAAAGACTCAGATTGCAGAGAAGGGGATTAAAAAAAAAGAATGTTCCAAATGTCCATTTTTCGTTTAAAATAAAACATTGCATTAAAATGCTACTAAAACGCACATAGATACATATGTTTCCTCTCTTACGGAAAATTACATTAATTCATTTGATAGATGTAGACAAATCCTGCTTTTACTGTAAAAGAACAATCGTTCAGAGTGATACTGATCACTTTGGACCGGGCGTTCATTACGGATCACGTAAATGTTAGGAATAGTCCACTTTCAAGAGCGTTAACACGCGCTGTAGGCGGTCGTTCGATGCTTCTACATGCAATTATCTGGCTTTCAGTGGAAAGCCAGCGTCGCGACGCAGGTCGTCGATTAACTTGTTGGCATGCTAATAAACCAAAAGCATTTCCTCTCAGTTCGCGCTGCCCACTGGCAGCGTGCGGTTTCGCGCAAACTTATCTCTCGAAAACGCTATTGACTCGACACGTCGACCGGTGACCGTCGACTTCCTGTCCGTTTCGGTCGTAGATTCCGGATACGCCGGTAACATAATCCGATCGGACGGTCGCCACCGCGATCGAGGAGTAAACACGCGTCAAAAAGGCGAAAGACAGGAAAGGCCAAGGCACGGCAAATACGTTGCGATGTGCAGTCGGATAAAAAGAGACGTGAAAGTTTACCGTACTGAAAGTTTACCGTACTGTTTTTTGCCATGTCGGTAGATACTGTTGAATCACAAAAACCGCGATCGAGCTTTTTGACAAAATTATTTTATACAGGGCGAGAGATGAGATAAAAATTATTTTATCTCATCTGTATCGCATTACTGTTTTTAGTGATAATGGATGCGTTCGACAAATGAAACAGTTCAGTGAGTACTTAAGCTAGAAATACATAGAAAAATGTAAGGCAGTGAGACGTAAGCAATAAATCGATCAATCATGATAAAGAACTACTTTCTTTATACTATGTTCTTTACTGTGATTGGCCAATTCGTTTTATTGCTTAAGTCTTATTGTCTTACGTCTTTTAATGTTTCTAGCTTTAGTGATAATTTATTTTCATACGTCTGTTGAATGCAACTAATTTCTTTGGACAATTCAAGATCGATTTTTACTTTACACTCTTTTGCAGTATATTTATTATACAATTAATCTACAATAGGAATCATATCGTTCAATTTCGATTATAAATGAAATTATAAATCAGAAAGAAAATTTGCTTTCTATAATAAATAAAAAGATAAACGAGTCGGTGAGATCGAGTGATTGGAATCATAATAACAGCGCATAGAAATATATTTTTTGCAGGGCGAAAAGAGAAACTTCAATGGCGTCCCATACATTCATACAGATGAAAAAGTATTCTCTTCCATAATTTTCTGGAATAAAAGCCGTGGAAGCTACGATTTCACACAAAACTAATCACCTTTCCGATTTCGGACGAAATTGACTCGTGAATTCAATGATGTACGAAACATAATACGCTTTTTCAATATATATGATGTCGCATTTTTCTGCACAAAAGAGATATAATCTTTTATACAGGAAAATATCATTTCACGTAGGAGATTAAAAAATGCAATTTTTATATGCAACTAGGAAGATTTAAACAAACGTACCACAATACATAAAAAGAAATAAAAAATGATCCATGATGCGTCAACACGAGATTCGATTTAAAATTATAGTTTAAATTCAGATTTGAGAAATCACTTATAATTGATGGGGAGCGAGTTTCGACAGGCGTAAAAATTTATTAACATAAAATTTATTAACTCTATTTTATATGTATAAACAGATGCAGAACACTAAGAATAATGATGTTCCACCTACTTGCGGCGTCAAGGAAGACTTAACATGTGTATGTATAATTAACTGGCTTCATGCCTGACATGCGAATCGTCACGGAGAGTTCAGCATATCCTTGGAGAGAGTTCCGCTCTACAGCACGAGAGCTCTAAGGTCCCTGCGGTATTCGCATTATGAAATTAGGCTAATGGCACCAACGTTACATAACTATGTTCAACGTCAAACCGCCAGGGCTTTAATGCAAATTAAGATCGTCTTGAGAAACATTTATCATTTTGTATTTTCATTTCCAGTTAAATGGCAAACAAAAAGGAAACATTACTTTTCATTTAAATACGTCGAAGTAGGAAGTTACAAATAACGATGCGCGTTCATTAATTCAGAAATAATCACCTGATTTTTTCTATATAAAGTTACCTGGAGTATTTTTACATTTCTGATTTATTAGTATTCAAAAACGTTATGTCACAAATTTAGTTACAATTTTTTGAAAAATATAAATAGAACCAAATAAATATTAAAATAAATAAGCATAAATTAAGTTTATTATGATATTATTTATAAAAAGTAAAGATTTTAATTATAATATAATTAATTAATAATGCTTTTCTCTTGCGGGTTTTCGATAGAATTTATTTATTTAAAATTTGTTTAAAGAATTATTTAGAATTATTTTAT